ACTTCATTGAGAAAAAAAACGAGTGAAATTGTCGCAAGGACATCCGGCAAGTGCAAAATTTGAAAAAGACCATGATACCTGTGGCCCTGGTGGTTCATCACGGCATAGTCCAAATTTCTTCAGTTTCTTGCGTTCAGCTACCACTCGTGGAACATTCTTCGTAATTACCTTGAACTGGGTCACTACCTAGAAAGTTCAATCCTGAATAGTCGTTACACTATGTTACTTCATGATTAGGGGTACCTTATACCTAGCTCCGTCTTCCTCAATATAGGCAACAACGGTTTTCACACCATCTTCATTCACTTCATTGTTTTGAAGGGCTAACACATTTATTTAGAATAATTGGTTATTAATGGTTGCAAAGGAAAAAACCTACTGTCTTGTTCGACTGCCTCAGCCCAACTGCCCACTTCAGGTGCTGCACTCAAACTGAAATTAATACACTCAGAAGAGTTAAGATTAGAGGGAAAAGATGATTGTTCCAAAATCACTGTTGCTACAGTGAACTTACATGTTAGTGGCGCTTGCCGACATTACCGTCATACGATTGCTGAAATTAAACAAAAAAAAATTTGTTTCTCATCCACAAACAAAAGAAGAACGCGCAACAAATGCAGTGAAAGTTACATATGCACTAAGTAACAGATAATAGGCATGGGATAAAATGAAGAAAATGACTAGCCTCCTACTCATGTATTCCATTTAGTAATAGTATATAAAATTGGATGGATCCTTAGAGTTGAATTGTTTTAACGTAATACTGAACTGTCGAATAGGAAAAACAAAGTTTTCGACTAAAAGATGACATTTAATTTGCAAGAAGAAATTTTCCTCTAAAAAATACCGTACTTGCATTGTCTACCAATTTCTTGAGTCACAAAAGGTTGAATATACAAATCTAGGGAGCCAAAAAAACTCAACCGATAGCTCAATTTTTTTGGAATTTCAGTAATGAAATGTATCCCATTACCTGAGCCCGCCAACAACTTACGAAACTTTTGTAAGAAACCATACTTCATGTCATTTTCTGCGGCGCGTCTTGCTTAACCAAAATCAGTTGCAGGAGCCACTCGTTATTTTAAAAAAAGATGGTATCTGCAACGCTGCGCTGCAGGTAACAACATTATTAGAAAGATCAGATGCTGACTATGAAAAATACATCCATTCATCACAACAGGGAAATTCACTGTGGGCTAAGCATTTTTGGCCCTCTCTTCAATATAAATCACTCATGAATTATAAAAGTGAGCAGTGGGACAAGTACAACAACGTAGAGCGAGCTTTTTCTTACAAATGATAAGACATGTTACGCAAAATGAATCTAGAACTTCTTTAATTTGTAGGGACGGCATGAACTGACATTCCAACAAATCAATTGTGAAAAATAATAATGTTACTTTGATCTGCCCTGTTTCGCCACATTGCTAATTTGTAATAAAAAA